GTTGATCAGAATCAAGATCAGTTTTGAGCAAACTGAAGTTGGCGATCAGAATTTCAGGAAGATTTTTTAATCAAGATCAGGTTTTTTCAGAAATTCCTGGGTAAGGTCTTATTCCTTCTTGAGGGAAGCAGCAAGGATAGCTTAATTTATGAGGTACGGCTATATAGAATTTTTTTCTTTTTCTCTTCTAGGGTTTTAAGGGAAAACCCTGAAATCCAGGACTGTTACTGTGTCCGGATAAGAGATTAGACTTGTTTTTAAGTTTGGCTGCTATCAGATTTCTGTTCTCTGATCTCTGTTTTTGGAGTTTTGTACCTAGGCCAACTGCTATTAGTTCTCAGATTTAGTAGGCTGATTGATACAGTGATACAGTGAATTGGAAATTTTTTCTCTGAATCTGATTTCTGCTTCTAGACCTACTGTCGTTAGTTTTCAGACCCAGTAGGCTTATTGTTACAGTAAATAGAAGGTGTTTTTTGCTTAACCCCTAACCAAGAATGGAGTTCAAGCACCAAGGGGAGGGTGTTTTGGGGACTGGTTCAGGTGGCATGACTAAAAAGACCTTCTAGATTAAAACTGTAAATATGGTTCAAACTACTTAGAGTGGGCCCAATCAGCCATGATGGCCATTGGGGGAAGAGGAAAGCTGAACTATTTGTTGGGAGATGTGAAGGAACCAAATAAGGAGGATCCCACTTATGCTAAGTGGATTCAGGAAAATTATTTGGTGATGACATGGTTGTGCAATTCCATGTAGCCACACATCAGCCGAAATTACTTATGGGCAAAAACAGCTAAAGAAATATGGGATGCTGTGAAAGAAACCTACTCAGCCCCTTAATGTTGCTAGGGCTTATGAGCTGAAATGTGAGGTTAAAAATCTCAAGCAAGGTGAGAAACAAGTTTATGTTTATTTTTCAATCTTGAAATCCCTGTGGCATGAAATTGACCAGCTTGAATCAATTGAATGGGAAAGTCAGAAGGATGCACAGATTTACAGAAAGCAGATTGAAACTAATAGTGTTTGAGTTCCTAGCTGGTCTAAATTCGGATTATTATATTGTGAGGCAGCAATTGTTGACAAGAGACAGTATAACTTTGTCCCAGGCCTATTCCTTAGTGCACAGCAAAGAGACTAGGAGAAAAGTTATGCTCCAGCAACAGCCTTTTGAATCAGCTCTGACAGCAGTTAAGCCCAAATCTGGGGGTGATAAGGAAAGAGACATGAAGAAAGAAGCTAAAAAGGACCTAGTATGTGAGCATTGCAAGAAACCTTAACATACTAAAGAGACCTGTTGGAAGTTGCATCCACATCTAGTTCCAACAAAACTCAGAAACAAAAAGGGGA